GCCTATGCACCGATGGATTGCAGCCCGGATGCAATGAAGGATGAGTTTTACTACCAACTGAGCGATCTCTTGAAACAGGCGGGTCGGAGGGATATCGTAGTGCTGGCTGGGGACTTGAATGCACAGGTCGGGCGTCTAAGCTCAGAGGAGAATCGTCTAGGTGGTCAGTGGGGACTACATGGTCGCAGGTCAGATAACGGGGACCGTCTTCTGCAGCTTTGCGCGGATCACAACCTATTTCTAGCCAGCACCAACTTCCGACACAGCCATCGTCGCAGCGCTACCTGGCGTCCTCCCTCTGCGAAGCAAGCTTGGACTCAGATTGATCATATTGCGGTCAATTTCCGGTGGCGAGGATGCATACAAGACTGTCGCTCCTTCTGGAGCACATGCCTGGACTCCGATCATGCGTTAGTGTGTGCCAAGTTCGTCTTGCGATTTGGTGGGGTTCATAAAAGCCGTCGTCTAAGCGTTGATGTGAGCAAACTAGTAGCACCTGCGACTTCTTTGAAATATCAGAATGAGTTATATATATATATATATATATATATATATATATATATATATATATATATATATATATATATATATATGAAACCCCGAGGGTCCCGCTTGCCATATATGTATGGCCTTCCAAAGACACACAAGAAAGAAGTCCCTCTGAGACCTATACTTTCGATGATCAACTCTCCCCAACATAAGGTTGCCCGTTGGCTCGCGGAGAAGTTGGAACCCATTCGCCAAAGGCTGGCCGCGCACACCATAAAGGACTCATTTCATTTTGCTGAAAGCGTGAATCACATGAACGTTTCAAATAAGTTCATGGCTTCATTTGATGCAACCTCCTTGTTCACAATGATCCCAATCAATGAAACCATTGAAATCATTTGTCAACAGTCTGATCTTCTCCCACTACCAGAGCCGGAATTCAAACGCCTACTGCTGATGTGTACCATGGGTGTACAATTCCAGTTTGACAACACTCTTTACCGACAAATAGATGGTGTAGCTATGGGCAGTCCACTTAGCCCTGTTTTAGCAGATATCTTTATGTCAAACCTTGAGAAAACAAAGCTGAAGCATGCAATTGATCAAACAACTTCCTATTGTCGTAAAAAAAAAAAAAAAAAAAAAGTATGCAACAACGAAAGTCATGCCTCCTACCTACTCAGACTATTCAACAACGCACATACAAATATTGTATTTACTATGGAACATGAAAATGATGGACAGTTCCATTTCCTTGACGTCGCCATAAAACGCCTAGAAGATGGTAGCCTCCAGAGGTCAATCTACCGAAAGCCCACATGGAATGGACAATACTTACATTTTAATAGTTTTTGTCCAAATAGCTATAAACGAGCACTAGTCAAGACTCTGTACTATAGAGCGAGGAGAATATGCTCTGCAGAGAAACTAGAGGAAGAATTCACGAATCTCGAAAAGGTGCTGAAAAACAACGGCTATACTCAAAAATTCATTAACAAATATGGAAGATGTGAAGGCCCAAATACCAAACAAATCACAGTCGAAAAAAAGCCTGTCTTCATTCAACTAGACTTTAAAGGTGAAGACATTGCAGAAATGGTCAACAGAAGACTGAGGACGTCACTAGCCAGAGCCTATCCTGCAGCTAAGTTGGTTCCCGTCCACCGAACAACATGCTCTTTGGTGCAGTCAAAAGTCGATAGATACCCTTCTCATGTTAACTCCAACTGTGTATACAAATTTACGTGTATCTGCGGGAGCAGTTACATTGGGAGAACAGAAAGAAGGGCACACCTCCGATTTTCTGAACATGTGCCGAAAAGCCTACGTCTCAAGGGAACAAACTCTTATAGCAGCGCTATTACCAGACATCTCCTCGACACGGGTCATGAGGTGGAAATCGAGAAATCCTTCAAAATTATCAATAGACAAAGGAGCTCCATTCTCCTCAAGTTTGCCGAAGCAATTTCTATCAAACGCTTGAAACCAGATCTATGTGTTCAGAAAGAATCAGTTATTAGTCTTTCCTTGCCTTGGTAACTGGATGTCTTTTTTCTCCCATCTGATTGCGTAATCTTTGTCTTTAACCTCACCCTCTTTTATAATTTTGCTTGTCTCTTGTTTCTATGATTTGAGTTCAACTCAGTACATTGTTACCTAACTTATTAGTCACTATGCATCCAACGCACATCCCTTACCATTATATACATACATTTATTTATTATTTTTTAACTTGAACTGCCTGTGTAAAAACTATATAAGCGCAATTTTCTGAGCACTGTTTACTAGTTGTGAAACTTTCTGTCAACATGTAAAATTTGCAAGTACGTTAAAACGTTTCTGTACTTAAACCTGAAAATTTATTTAGGCTGTAAGCAGCTGACGAGAAGCCAACGAAATAAATGATGGTACCATGTTATTCTGCACAAATCAATGTTGTTCTCGCTTCATTCAAATTTATCAAGGGGAATAAATGCATGAGTTACAATCAATGCTTGCCAGCAACCCCCCAAGTAGTATAGATGAACATTGGCTTCATGTGCAAGGTGCCATGCAAAAGGCGAGTGTAGCCGCTTGCGGCTTGAAAGAATGCTCCGCTAACAACCACTGGGTTTCTGCGAGTTCCTTGCAACTCCTGGATGAACGCCGGTCCATTCCGGCTGGCAGCGAATACAACAATCAGCGAAAGGCGCTCACGCGCAAGATTAGACAGTGTTTACGTAAGGACCGCGAAGCCTGGTGGTCAGAACGTGCGTGTGAGATGGAGTCAGCTGCTGCATCTGGCAACAGTCGGAAGCTGTTCCAACTCATACGAGCCACCGGTGGCAAGAAACAAGGTGTCAGCGAGACGGTCTGTGAGGCAGATGGCACTCCAATTACCAGCCTGAAAAGACGCCTGGAACGCTGGGCAGAGCACTTCGGGAAGCAGTTTAGCTGGCCACCAGCTTCAGTGTCTACTATCATTAGCCCGAGTGCTCCTTGGTCGGTTAGTACCGACGACCCACCCACCGAAGCGGAGGTCCGTAAGGAACTCCAAGTTCTGAAACGCCATAAGGCGCCCGGCCCAGACAAATTACCCCCGGCTCTTTTTAAAGATGGTGGCGAGACTCTCACAATGGCTCTAACTGGGTTGTTCAGGAAGGTGTGGGAGACAGAGAGTGTACCATCAATGTGGAACGAAGCCATTATCGTCCCCATCTTTAAAAAGGGTCGACGTAATTCGTGTGACAATCATAGGGGTATCAGTCTGTTACCAGTCGCGTCTAAAATATTGGCTGCTGTCTTGCTTCGCAGACTGTGCAAAATACGTGAAGGATTGATTCGCGAAGAGCAGGCTGGGTTTCGTTCAGGTCGTGGATGCATTGATCATGTGTTCACCCTTCGTCAGTTGTTGGAACACCGCCACACGTATTGCAGGCCAACGATCGTTGTGTTTCTTGATATTAGGGCTGCCTTCGATTCGTTGGACAGAACTGTGCTCTGGAACTGTCTGTTAGAGAGAGGTGTACCTGAGAAATTTGTTAACATCCTGAAAGCCCTATACAGAAACACCTCAGGTAGAGTGAGGGCATACAACCAACTATCACCACTGTTCCCAACCAACAGTGGGGTTAGACAGGGTTGCCCAATCTCTCCATTTCTCTTTAACTTTGCCATCGATGACATTCTGGAGTCAGCTCTGAAGGATGTGCGTGAAGGTGGTGTAGATCTGCTACCTGGAGATAGACTTTTCGACCTCGAGTATGCAGACGATATCGTCTTACTGTGCGATAGCATGCAGGCTGCCCAAATCGCACTTAATCAGTTGGCGATCAGTGTCTGTAAGTATGGTATGTGCTTTGCGCCGTCTAAGTGCAAAGTACTGTTACAAGATTGGCAGGAGCCTGTACCTGCACTCACTCTTGCGGGTGAACCGCTTGAAGTTGTTGATAAGTTTGTGTACCTGGGTAGTTGTGTGAGTGCTGGCGGAGGGGTGACGGATGAGATTTCCAACCGTATAATGAAGGCTAGGGTGGCATACATCAACTTGAGCCACCTCTGGCGCCGTCGCGACGTTAGCCTGGCTGTCAAAGGTCGGGTATACAATGCTTCGGTGCGGGCTGCGCTGCTCTACGCCTGTGAAACCTGGCCTCTCCGAGCTGAGGATGTGCGTCGACTCTGCGTGATCGATCCAGGGAAAACCTTTTCTGGATGATAACCGTATTCTGACTGAACGGAAATGCGATTTCCTATTGCCTTTGGTGATAGTTTCATACATAATTTCTTGAAACTGTTGTTACAAGATTTCATCATGAGCTGACATTAGTTTGGAAAACCAGTCAGGAGTACTGGACAGCCATCTGTCTCATCAACCTAGTTTGGGACTCTTCATCAGTCTGCCTGTCTGTTTTCGACATAGAACTTTGCACATATGTGCGGCAGTTGAAGTCGCTAGACTCCTTCCATGTAGTACACAACGTAACAGAAGAAAGTAGAAGAGATGCATAATAGGGACAGCAAACAGAGGTGTGAGACAAAAAGAATAGTAATAACGAAGAAGAGTATAGTTTCACTAGAAATCATAAGTCACAAGGAGTGGATGCATCTCCGCCAGCCATTGAGAACGGTTTTGAGTCATATCACCGATTGTTTCCAGCCATTGGTTTTTACCGTCCCGAGGACCCCAAGCAGTCAAGATGGTTACACTTTCCTACATGGCTGGCTTAAACTAACTGTGTTAGATTTCATTGACTGTTGGAGCCATGTTTTAGTTTGATCGCCGCTAGCTCTTTTCCAGTCTGTCCCTATGTCACCTAACATTGCTCTTCAGTAGTACACACCCATCGCCAGGGTTTCGGACCCAGGACCTTCTGACTCAAAGGCTAGCGAGCTCGTAGACCATTTGTCAGCTACTGGAACCCTATCCAATGACTAGTCTATGAATTCCAACCTCTGTCAATTCACTTATGTCTACCTTTTTCATTTCTTTTATCGTCCTGTTTGTTTTTCTTTTTTCTTTCTTCTCTTCATAGGAGTCAATTAAACGCCGTAAGAAATTACTGTATGATCTTGAAAAGAAAGATTGAAGATGCAGTTAGATTCCCATTATGAAATTTTTTTAGATCAGGGAGCGTGGTGTTGCGGCTGATGATGATAATAATAATAATAATGGTAACGACGACCACCAGCTTTTTACACCGGCGTTATCCTAACCTGTTTGATAACCATTCTGTAGTGGTTATACATATATATTTAGTGTTGTAAATCATCAGCTTCTCTAGTTAGACTTTTGTATACTTCTACTTCAAAAACTTTTTTTTTCGCGAAAAATCTTAACTTGTCTGTTTCTCCCCACTTTTTTTTCTAATCTAACTACGTACTTTGAAATAGAGAAAATTTTTAGTACAAGACTCCTTTTTTCTTGTTCATTGTGTATATGTAAAACTTGTTAATATCGTTGGTGTGTGTGTGTATGTGATTGCTTCCAGAGTTAGACTGGTTGGTACATTATTGGTCTCAGATTTTTTGGCGTATGGGGATAGAATGCCAAATTACAATTTCATTCAATCACTTCCTGTGCACACCGATAGTGAGAAGTCGTGACCAGTGGGGTCCATCATGTCGGTAATTGGGACAGATACGCCCCGATGAATGATCGACGAGCTTGTTTCATAAACTGTCTTCCTTCATGGCTGTGAGTGAGACCTGGTCATTGAACGTGGAAGACATGAAAACGTTGGTTAGCTGTCTTTGATCATAGATGTCTGTGTTCCATCTCCTGTCTGAAGTGGTATAATAGGTTGAGCAATATTGAGTTTAGGCCTCAGTTGAGTGCTAGGTAGAGGTGAAAGGGGAAATCAATCGACAACGTTGTGAAGTTATATATTGATTGGAATGGTGAGGACGTATTTGACGCATGTGTGTCTAGCCGTCGTCCTCCTCGACGACAGGATGGATCCCATTTCTTCCTACATATTTCTACGCACAGTTGGTTCCTGCTGAGTTGGTTCGTTCATTGCCAGAGACCCCTTCATGTTGCTGATCTTTTCTGGCTGGCGATCGGATCTTGAGCGAGACAGCTGTTGATGTGAGGTTTGTAGTTTATTCGAAATGCCCTTCGTGACGCGGTACAGCCTAAAGTTTCTGTTCCGTGTAGAGTAGCACTGACTTCACATTGCAATTGAAAATTCGGATCTTATTTTCATTTTCATGCTGAGTGTGCTGTGCTGTTGACTTCCACACAGACTTGAGAGTAATGAAAGCGTGTCTAGGTTTCCCGATTCTCTCTGTGACATTCTCATCTGTTCCGTCCGCCTGTAGTTGAAACGATGCATCCCAAGTAGGTAGGCGGGTAAAGGAAGTTGCTTCTTCCAGACGCCTCCTATTTATGCTGATTATTGTCTGTTGTTTTCGTCGTTGCTGTTGGCCAGGAATCTTCATCACATACCTCTGTTTTTTCTTTGTTCACCTGAAGTCCTATCTTCTCTGGATGCCTCTTCTGCCAACTTGTTACTTTTCACTTGCATATCTTCCAGTTTATGGGAAATCAGACATATATCATCGGCGAAATCCAGATCCTCCAAGTTTTCTGAGTGGATTCATTTTATGCCGGTTTCCTCGCTGCCCGTTTTCTGTCGCATTATCCAGTCTACTGACCGCAATCAGGAAAATCATTGGAGATAGTAGATAGCCAGCCGGCCTTGTCTTACATCCGTCTTCACTTCGAAGATTTCCATGAGTTTCCCGTTGTGGATTACTTGGCACACAGCAATGTCGTACAATTGTTGGATGAGATGTATAATTGTTGGTGCACCCTGTGGTAGGGAAGTAGTTGCCAAATCACCTGTTATCTTTAATGCAGTTATACTCGACCACCACAGTGCTCAAGTTTTATACTTATATCAATAAAGTTTGTAGTCTATTGGAAATGCTTCTTGTGACTCTCCGGGTCTGTGAATCATGCAGAAGAAGTGGCTTTACACTATTGTAGAACGTTGTATTGACCGTAACTCACAACTTGTTTGGCAGTCGACAGAAAGCTTTAGACATGGATTTCATGCTTACTGGCACTTATCAGCATGGTGCTTTTGCTTCTCTTGGAGATTCGGGCTCATATTAACCAGTGCTTTAATCGGTAACGTTACCACTGGGCTATCCGGGTCTCATCTGACATCCTGTAGGACTTTAAATACTACGCTACTTTGATGTGGTTGTGTTCTCTGAGCTAGATGGTTGATTTTCGAAGCTTTCATCACCCTACTGGGTGATATCTTCAGCGCATACTTCAGTTTGAAGTGAGCTTTTAGATTTCTCCACGAGTCTAGTAATCATCTCTCCTGGTGACCACCTTGGACGTGATTGGTTGTTTTTGTGTTTTCATACCTTCTAGGTTACTTGTATTGGAACTGACTGTTTCTTTGACTTGAACTTTGAACCTTTGTGTGTGTGTGTGTATGTGTGTGAGGTTTCTTTCTTATCGGTTGATAAATTTTGTCTATCTCGATGTGTCTATTGATTGATGATTCACTGGAATGCCAAGCTTGTAAAAATTCTCTAGCATTCTTGTTGTTTCCTCTGTCTAATATTTGAACATTGTCCCAGTCGAATTGATGTCCGTGGTTGTCTGTTTGTAGTGATATGAGGGAGTGGATATCATGTCTTTTGACGGCTAACTTATGTTCGTGGATACGAAGACGAAGGGGACGTCCACTTTGACCAATGTAGTGTTTTTCGCAGTTTTTACAATTTATTTTGTAGATGATGTTGGTTTTATCTTCTTTCGCTGTTGAGTCTTTTGGTTGACATAGAATTGAGTGAAGTGACTTTGTTGGTTTGTGTACGACGTCAATTCCTAAAGGTTTGAAGAGTCTTGTAGTGATTTCTGAGATATCCTTTATATATGGTAAGGCGATTTTGTTTGTGCTTACCTTGGCGGCTTTTGGATTGATAGGTTGACTTGGAGGTATATGTTTTTTGATGAAATTTCGTGGATATCCATTCTTTTGGAAGACGTCGATGAGATTCTTTTCTTCAATTTTCCTTAAGGTGGGAGTACTTCAATGAGTCCTTAGTTGATATTCTCTTTGCTAATATATCTTTATAATTATCATTATAATTTAATCATCTCTAATGAACTGTGGTAATTCCATTGTGATCTTATTTAACAAATCGATATTAAAAAAAACAATAATATTGTTATTGACTACTAATCTAGAATATCCTATGTATATAAACATATATGTATATATAATTGTAGAGCCAGAAGAGGTGGAAATTATCGAAAATTGGTATAAGTATAAAAGTTGGGCACTGTGGTAGAGTATAACTCCATTATGGATAAGATTTTATTTTGATATTCTTCGCTCAATTATTTTGTGTATTATAGATGTCTGAATGAATATTTTAACTATATACATGTTTTGATCAACGTGCAAATATTGAGTCATTTTCCCGTCTACTTTGTATGACATCAAGAAAATACGAAAGGATTTTAATACTTCTCTATTAGTAAATGAAAACAAGTGATGATTGTTTATGATTAGATTTCATTAAGATTATTCCTTCTTAACAGTTAGAGAACCAATGGACAGCTGTTTCATCCCCGCTAGGGTTCGAACCCAGGACCTTCCAGTGTGGTGAGAGCTGTTTGCTAGGCAAAACTGGTAGACTGTGATTTACGTCAATGTTTACGTCCCAAATCTTGGTCATGAGAAAAAAACAAGAACAAAGACTAACCTTGAGGAACTCAACAACCAATCACGACAGACTTTGCGTAGGTGGATACGATTAGCCGAAGATATATGGTCTGACCTTCAAACAAACGGCCACAAAGAGATGATAGAATAACTTTGAGTGAGAAAACAGCCAATCAGAAGACGCTGTTTCTCTCTTAATAATAACGAATAATAATGTACATAAAAATATATATAGAAATATCTCTTGATTTCCTCAATAAACGATCTGTTGTCTGACCCTTGTCTTTTGTTGTTATACCGGTTATAAAGCTAGCGAGTTTGTAGACCACTCAGCCAGTGGTACTAGATTCAATGACCAGTCCATGAATTCTAACTTTTTCCAATTCGTGATTTTAGTGGGACCACCAATGGCTGAATGGTATACGATCTTGACTTGAAACCTGAAGGTCCTGGGTTCGAACACTTGTGGTGGATGCATACTGGCTATAATTCTCAAAACTAGGATGAAACAGCTCTCCAGTACTCCTAGTTTGTTTTCATTAATTCTCTAGCTGCTATCAATCCGTGGTCAAATTCGGATATCAATTTAACAATTTGTTAGATAATATTTTTCATAAATGATTTTAATTTTAATTTTTCGACAGAAATTTCGGTGATCATGTTTGGTGGTTCAGAACCTGGTTGTGGTGCAGGAAAGGTAAACATTATTAATTTTAAAAAAAAGTCATAATCCTGTTTATGGGCGTCAGTGGCACAGTGGTAGGTAGAATGCTCACCAACCACACTGCAGGTGGTCCGAGGTTCAATCCCTGGCGGACACATTCCTTTACCTCGCTAAGCCAGTAATAAGGCTGGTAAAGAGGGAAGTTTGGTCATGAGGCTGGCTAGCAACCACATCCTGTAAAAATAAATACCACAGGTACCAAATCTTCAAAGCTCTTGCTTGAAGCTCTTCCTATGCTCCACTCGGAACGTAAAGGAACTAAAAAGAAAATGCTGTTCGTGAAGTATCTTTTGACTCATCGGTGGTTGAGACAGAGGGCGAATAATGTTATTATTATTTATCCCTCTGGTACCAAGAGGAACAAAGGGCTTCACAAGCACACCTCCACTATACTCTATTCTCTGCTGCATATTCTTTAGCTAACTCCGTCACAGGCTTTCATTTCCTTCTTCTTCTTCACGTGATCTCCTCCATGTCACCTGCAGACGCTGAATTCGTCGCTGCTTGTTCGAGTTCCACGCGAGGGCCTAGCGTGTGATGGCGCATTTAACGGCTTCCTTCACCGCCCTGCCTGATTGCCTTCTTCCTTATCCCCTTTTCTGGTCAGTCATCTGATTTCCAGTATATCGAACAAAAAAGGCACTTTGTTGAAGAATGTTTGAAGCCTACAGGAAATACTACTTTTCATGACCCCGCACCAAACCTCACCTCTCAGAAGCATTATAGAAGTATATCAGTTGGAGAACCACTGGAAAACAGGGAGTAGTGTAGAGCTGTTTTATTATGCGACATGTTTGGTTTTTTAATACTTCTCTAATTGAAATCAATTTCTGATCAAGCTTAAAATCCAACAAGTTCTTGCCATCCAGAAAATCGTTAAAAATGGGTTTCATTAAAGAAAGAATGAACAAAAAACATATTTGCAGTTGCAGAATAAAATACAAGCTCCTTTCATCTCGTGGATTCTCTCGCTATCCCTCTTCAACTGCACCAGTACATCCTAAACAGAATCAAATTTTATATACTACAAAATGGTGTCTGAATATACTTTTTCCCACAATCACTTCAAGTGTTACAGTTAGAAAGTGATATGTATCCACATGATGTGTGTGTTTGTTTTTGACAGTCTGTTATATTTTGCTATGTATATATGGATCGATATTCCATTATAATTAGCCAATCATGTTAAGACTGTCTACTGATTCGTTCATTTTTGAGCATTCGCTCATACACTTGTGTTCCCACTCACTTGTTCGGACATTCATATATGTTTTTGCTCTCACACTCTTGTGTGACATTGATTCTCCTGGTGTTTTGGAAAATACAAGTATCATCGTGAACCTGGTGGTTTTCTGATTTCGACCTTCTTGCGTCAGGACTATTAAATTCTCGATCAGTACATAACAATAATTTGGCGACGGGGATGGGATATTTGAGTTTCTTGGACGCAACTAATTGTAGTGACGGGTCCATAAATCATTACCAACTTTCACCTCGTACATAACTCGACCACGTCGTGCTGCAATGGAACCTTTATTCCAAGGTTTATGTCCTGCTCGATAGTCGCGGACATAGATAGGGTCACCAACATCAAATTTTTTTTCATTCCGATATGATGCATCGGCACGTTTGGTGTCGGTGGTAACATTGAGTTGCGAATCGTTCTAAGTTTGCGTCCGTAAAGAATTTCTGCCTGTGATTTCTTGTTCTGTGTTGACTCATTCACTGTTGTACGGTACACCATCAAGAATTTCTGGATGACGTCAAATGGTGTCCCCTCTCCCTCTGCTTTGAGTAAAGCTCTCTTCAAAGTGTCGACAAAACGTTTCGCTTGGCCGTTTGACTGAGGATGATACAGTGGTGTAAACATATGCTCGATAGCATTTTGACGACAGAACTGCTGAAACTGATGAGAGGTAAACTGCGAACTATTGTCTGTAACTATGGTTTCTGGGAGACCATGATGGGAGAATATGTCAGTGAGAGCTTTGAGAGTCTGGGACGTTATCGGCGAAATCATTGGTATAACTTCTGGCCACTTAGAAAAAGCGTCTACCACCACTAAATAATATGCACCATTTGTAGGGCCAGCAAAATCAATATGAATTCTGGACCAAGGATGAGCTGCTGGTTTGCATAAATCAAAAAAGGAGTTGGCTGAATTTTCATCCTTGTTGACTGCGTTGCATACAGAACTAAGGACTATTCACTCATTCAGCATCAGTACATAACAGAAAGTATAAGTAACCTAATTTCAAAGATGATGCTGTAAGTGGATGAATTACCCAGTGTTAAAAGAGTAACTGTTTACATAATAATTAGGCAAGGTGGGGCACGGGTAGAGCCCGAATTTCGCTTGGCAACAAGGATGGACTAGAGACAAAATAAACGATAGAATAACAGAGTGAATTTATACATCTTTTTGTGAAGAATTCATGTGCGTCAGTGGCACAGTGCTCGTCACTCACGTCTCAGGTGGTTCAGGTTTCAATCCCCAGCCACCGAAGCACTCTTAAAACCTCTCTAAGCCAGTAATAAGACTGGTAAATAGGGTAGGTTGGTCATGAAGCTGAATAGCAGCAACGCAATCTCGTAAAAATAAACAACACTGCTTTCGAACCTTCAAGGGTCTAGCTTGAAGGCGCCCTATGTGTCCCACTGGTAACATAAAGGAATAAAACAAATGGTAAAGAATTCTGGAGGGTGGATGGAGGTGAATGTGAATAGTGAAGTAAAATTATGAAATAGATAAAATCATTTAATTTGGCAGATTTGGAGCCTTAATAGGGATGCATACAGCAAGACAGTGTAACTGATCTCCCACTACCCTGGTAACCGTGATTGTTTTGTTCGCGTGTGTTGTTCTGATGCCTAACATTCCACTCAATCCTGATTTTGATTTCCACTCACTCAGTGACTGAGTTGAACTCACTATGAAGTTAAGCTTCTAAATCTATTAAATTGAATTATTTTATCTATTTCATAATTCTACTTCACTGTTCACCCCCATCCTCCTGGATTTTTCACCATTTTGTTTTTTATTCCATTACGTTCCCAGTGGAACATAGGGCGGGCGCCTTCAAGCTAGAGCTTTAAAGTTTCGGTAGCAGTGGTGTTTATGTTTACGAGATGGTGTTGCTAGTTAGCCTCACCTAGCTCAACCTACGCTCTTTACCAGTCTTTTTACTGGCTTACCGAGGTTTGTGAATGCGTCGGTGGCTGACGATCGAATCCCGGACCACTTGAGGCGAGGATTCTACAGCTGTGCCACCTACGCACACGAATTCTCCACCGATAATAATAAATTAACTCTGTCGTTCTATCCCGTATTTTTTTTCTCTCTCTCTCTCTATTTATCCGTGTCAGTACACACATTAGATACGTCGGTGGCAGGTTGGTAGGATGCTCGCCGACCACACATGTGATCAGGGGTTCGATCACCGGCCTACGCGCTCCTTTACCTCGCTAAGCCAGTAATATTGTGGTGTGTGTGTGTGTGGCTGTTAGCCAAATTGGTAGACATTAATTTACGTCAATGTTTATGTCCCCAATATTGGTCGTGAGAAAAATGAAAAGAAAAGCTTTGCGTAGGCGGATACAGTTAACATATAGATGACCTGACATTCAAGAAACAGTCACAAAGAGATTCAGGGTTAACTCTCAGTGAGAAGCAACCAATCAGAAGATTGTGTTTGTTTGCTTGAATAAGCTATAATAATGTACATGAAAATATATAAATACGTATTGACTTCCTTAATAAACTATCTGTTTGTCTACCCCTTGTCTTCTATTGTGACAATATGACTGACTGGTGAAGACAAAAAGGCTGGGCATAAGGCTAGCAAACCCATCCCGTAAAAATAAACACTACCGGTACCGAAACTTCAAGCCTTTTAGCTTGAAGTCCTTCCCATGTTCCACTGGGAAAGTGAAGGAATAAAAAGAACCAACTGATGATGTCTGTTCACGATGCTTTGAAACTGATGAGATTCCCACACAAATGCACTACTTCAATGAACAAATAAATAAATAAACAACAATGAGTGGAATTCCTTGTGTCATATTATTTCTCTCTCTCTCTCTCTCTGTGTCTCTCTGACTGTCTCATACTGTTTTAGGGAGGTGGTGCTGGTGGATCGATCCGTGAAGCTGGTGGATCACTTGGCAAGCGAGAAGCTACTCTAGAAGATGAATACTTCCGACGTTTGGTAAATTATAATAATACTACGAATTTAAAAAAAAATATTTTATATTGTAGGATCAACAAAAGATAGAAGCACTTAAAGAAAAATTAGATCATAAATCTAATCAAGAAAAGCAATCACCAGTAAGTAATCAAACTTTCATCTACTTTGCAGGGGGTTTTTATGAGATTTCATACATTTATTCCCTGTTAATGAATTTGAATAAACCGCGAACAACAGTGATGGCTTGTGCAGAATGTGCAAAATGGTACCATCATCGTTATATTTCGTTGGCTTCTTCTCAGCTCGTCAGCTCAAATCATCTGCTGCTAACAGGGCAAAGTCATTATTGTTATTATTAAGTATATCTACAGAGGTGGACATCGAAAGATCGTTCAAAATTATCAATAGGCTCAAAAGAGTTCAATTCTCCTCACATTTGCCGAAGTGATGTCCATCAAGCTCCTGAAACATGATTTCTGTGTGTGTGTGTGTGTGTTGAGAAAGAAGAAGCAGTTATCAGTCTTTCCTTGCTCTGTCTGGTGTCTGGATATTTTCACCTCTCTTTCATCTGATTACGTAATCATGAAAGTTTCCAGTATGTATGATCAGTATTGTTCGGAATAATGTTTAATATTATATATATATATATATATAGATTTTTGTCTGAAAATGAACTCTGTGCAAGTATCGCGAGCTACCTAGAATGGTGGCCACATTGCAAACCTGACTGATACAATTCAATCTGCATCAAAAAGAAAGGACTAGACACGTTACACTATTTAGTTACTAGCGTCCAATCAAAATACTCACTACAGTCCTACAGGAGGTCAGTCGCGAGCTCGAATAGCTACCTCGGTGGTAACCTCTGTGACTGCAGGTGGCACTGGGTGACGCGGGTTCGAATCTCAGAAGGGATATGAGTTGTTCCTTCAAGGTTTCAGATACGCCTTGCTGACTGACTGGTAGGTGCCACCTGGCACGAAACCTAGGTGTAAGGTGAGGCTTCCTGTGGCCGACTGCCTTCAACTATCTAACATCTGTGCAAGTATGTTGAGATTGTTTCTGTAGATATACTTAATAATGACTGTGGCCTGTAAGCAGCTAATGAGAAGCCAACGAAATAACCGATGATGGTACCATTTTATTCTGCACAAGCTGTCACTGTTGTTCTTGCTTTATTCAGATTTTATGAGACGTTTAGATAAAGTTTGTTAATATCAGAGTAACTTATTTGATGATGTCTACCAATGGAATCCTGTTTAACACCTGTTAACTGGATGTATCTACATTATTAGTGAGTGATGGTGTGTTCCCTTGTGTAAGACTCGATGGCAGTGTTAGTCGCTTGAAACGCCAAACTGTTATCTGGTGGAATGTTGATCCATAAGTCTCAGTTGGAATGATGTCACTACTAATCGGAGAGTAGGTACATTAGATTTCATATATGTGTAAAACTTGAACACTGTGGTAGTAAGTAATTCCATATTAGTTTGTTTATTAGATGCATCACACAGTCAGTCATTGAAGTAGTATTATTATTTACTGGATGACACAGTTTCGAACAAAACTTATTGCTGTTCATAATCATTTCATCAGTTATAATCACGTGACTTCGAAACTTGAGTTTCATAGTTTTCTCCTATTTGTCGTCGTTGGGGTAGTGGAATTTTCCAGTTATCTGGGTGAACAGGTGTTGAATCATTCCTATTCCACATATTCCCTCTCACTTGATTCGATAAACAAACCTCCCACTGTTATCAATCTCTCCCTCCACCCTGTGACATTAGATTTTAAAACTGTCATCTTATCCCACCATCCTATATTGTTTGGTTGTGTGTAACTGCATGTAGTGAGTGGTATGGCTGAACTATTCTCTAGATTTGTTATCTTATTCGGATCAGCCAATCTAGATTTTACTGCTGGGTTTTTATGCTTGGCTTGTCTGGCTGACTGCTCCTGTTCTACTACTTTGACCTATGCGTTATTTGACCTGACAATCATTGGAGGCAGGGTAGTAGACAGACTAAATTGTTTTGTTTTAAAGGCTCCACAGACAGGATCCTTTAACCGACAAAGCTTGTTTCTAATTGAGTTTGTGGGGGGTTTGAATGCCAGCCACTTTCATTCCTGGCTGCCTTGTTAAGAATTCTGAGTAAGGTGGTTTCTGAGGTTCCTTCCATGTATGGAATTACTGTTGATGATTTAGATTCCTTATTGTTGGTGTCGTCATTAATAATAATATTATTATTATTATCACTATCACTACTATCATTATTTATTTTATTTTTACATTCCCTTACATATTTCCTGACTAATTTATCCGGATAATTATTAAGTTTCAAGGCTTCTTTGTCATCCAGTGAATAATAATACTGTTTCACTCACTATGTGATACATCTAATAAACAAACTAATCGTCTTATGATTTCTTTGTTAAATTGTTAAATATAATTTCGACTATTGTACAGCAGCAGCTTATTCGAAAATGAATGAATCGTCGAGGAGGAAATTTTCTTCGCTGCTTTTCGCGTTTTCTTTTTTTTGTCTTTATGATTTCATTTCTGTTTTCATAGGAGCAATCGAAATAGAATGAATATTGTTATACTGAATAAGAACGATACCTTTTTGTCCGATAGAAGAAGAAGAAGAAGAATGATTCACAACTATCGATTATTTATTGATTATTGCTTTAATTGCTTTACTTACTGAGAAACTCAGGTGCACTTATATATTTATGCCTTATTTTGTCGTAAAGTATAACTTTCTTCAACCCTTTTATTGATTTAATACAGAATTCATTACAGTTTGTCAAGAGTTAGCCTTTAACAATTTGATCGATTACAGGTTTAATCTTCAGTTGACATCAGCTACAGAATCATTGAAAATACCCAGACAGCACTGGATAGATGTGTTATTGTTATGTTGCTGCTGCTGAGTGCTTAACAGTAGTTTTCCCCGTCGCCAAATTGTTATGTACTCGTCTCTAAATTATTGTTATGGACTGGTCGAGAAACTAATAGTCCTGACGCGAGAAGGCGGAAATCAGAAGACCACTAGGTTTTGTGATGATACTTCTATTTTCCAAACACAAGGAGAATGCAATAAGTGGTCTCACACCAAAGTGGTAAGTAAGTAAAGTAGTTGTAAAGTAAAGTCACAAGATTGTGAATGCGAAATATATATGAATGTTCCAGACAAAGCGTGGGAAAAAATCAATAGACAGTCTTAACATGAATGGCTAATTATAATGGAGTGTCGATCCAAATATACATAGCGAATATAGCAGATATGTCAACAAACACTCATATTATATATAATATAATATAAGGAGAATATACATTATTAAAGGAGACAAGTTCACACAAGTGAAATGGTCACAGACTAAGCGAGCAAACAGAAAGAGAGACCAACATACACACACACACATAAATATATATATGTGGATACATATCAGAAGCAGAACATTTGAGTTCACCAATAAGTTTGAGCCGCCCACCGCAGGCTCTGAGAAGAGTCTGGGAAGTATTTCCGATTGGTGGTCTGCCAATATTATTCCAAATTTTCTCTGATATAACAGTAATATCAGAGGCGGTATCTAGCTGCAGACGTGCATCATGACCATTCATCTGAAGATCAAGATATTTCCGCATAGCTGGTGCTGTGGCTTGACGGGTTGCGCGTAGACTCAATGATCTCCTTGGAGATTTAGGACCAACAGTTTGTTGAGCTTTCGCTGGATTATGATATCTGGGTTTGCGTGGCTGACAAAAACCATTTTTATGACCAATGATTCTGCACTTGCTGCAACGATGATTTTTGTATGGGCAAAACTTTACAAAGTGCCACGCGCCACAATGCCAGCATGGTGATGGTGGGGTCTTCTTTGCAGTATTTTGTGAAGTTGGACGAGTATGTGTAGATTTCCGCGGAACATTAGAAGAAGGTGGGTCAGGAGTGGATGATGAGAGATTTTTGCTCTTTCGTAATGCATGAATATCAGAGCTTCTCGAAGGTGTTGATTCGACCAGGTGTGTGTCTTTCTGCAAATTAATCAGCCGTTGATATTCATCAGCTATGTCATGTAATGTTAACCTAGGATTTTGTTCTAGCTGATTGAGCAGTCGAGTTCGGATATCTGTGAAACGAGGAGATTGGAGACTGCATATGAGAATCAAGGCTTTGAATTGATCATCTGTTAAGGACCTGAGTCGAAATCTCTCACATTCTCGGTTGACTGTGCCAACGTGAGTAAGAAAATCATCATTTTCATTCATTGTCAGCTTGAGGCAACGATAACGTATGCTGAATAATGAGGAGTGGTCTCCAAAATGTTCACGCAGCAGCTTTATTGTATCATCGAAACACTTGTCACGTGGTTTCTGGGGTAAAATTAGGTTGCAGTACCGTTCATATTCTGCGGGACCCAATTTACGTAACAACACTCGCACCTTCCAAGCATCGTCTTGTGAGGCGAGATCAACAGTGAATAAATCCTCATAACGTTGATACCATGTGTCAAAAGTGACATTAGCATCTGGATTATAATTGAACTGTGAAATACTATTCACAATTCCGTCGACAGATGGTAGCATGGTATGATTGGGATTGCTTGAAGGTGAAGCTGGACCAGTCTGTTGGTTGACGAACATTTCCATTAATTTCATTTGTTGTTCAAATAGTAATACCAATTTAGAAGGATCCATAATTTTCCCCGTCGCCAAATTGTTATGTACTCGTCGCTAAATTATTGTTATGGACTGGTCGAGAAACTAATAGTCCTGACGCAAGAAGGCGGAAATCAGAAGACCACTAGGTTTGCGATGATACTTCTATTTTCCAAACACAAGGAGAATGCAATAAGTGGTATCACACCAAAGTAAGTAAGTAAGTCACAAGATTGTGTGAGCGAAAATATATATATAACCATCCAGACAAGTGTATGAACAATCAATAGACAGTCTTAACATGAATGGCTAATTATAATGGAGTGTCGATCCAAATATACATAGCGAATATAGCAGACATGTCAACAACCACCATATATGGATATATGTCACTAAGCAACGGACTGTCAACAAACACTCATATTATGTTATACATATTATATAAGGAGAATATACATTGTTAAAGGAGACAGGTTC